CCTAAAGCTCAATACTATACTTCTAAACTCAAACTAATCCTCCCTGCTGCTGCTGCTGCTGCTAAGTCACGTCAGTCGTGTCCGACTCTGTGCAACCCCATAGACGGCAGCCCAACAGGCTCCTCTGTCCCTGGGATTCTCCAGGCAAGAACACTGGAGTGGGTTGCCATTTCCTTCTCCAATGCATGAAAGTGAAAGGTGAAAGGGAAGTCACTCAGTCATGTCCGACGACTCTTAGCGACCCCATGGACTGCAGCCTACCAGGCTCCTCCGTCCATGGGATTCTCCAGGCAAGAGTACTGGAGTGGGTTGTCACTGCCTTCTCCCTAATCTTTCCTACAAACCTGCAACTCCTGACTTTTCTATTCATGTCACGACCACATGCCTTCTCAGAAATCCTCTTAGATTTCTCCCTCTCCATCACCCACTTCCTGAGTAATCCTTTCTCTGGCTGATTTCATTACTGCTAAACTCATGTATTTTCAAAGTAGACATTGAAAAGCCAATGTACCCAGTTGAGAAACCATGTTATAGCATGGTTAACCAGTGACAGAAGACTAAACTGGTGGTCATAAGTGCAAAAGATTTTAAGGGGAAAACTTTTGTTATTTGCAGTATAAACAGAACTAAACAGACTGGCATTGCAGTTTGTGATTCTTCTGTTAAGAAATTGAGTTCTCAGGCTGTCCTAGAGAAACAAGGTTTTCTTATCTCCCTCTGAATTCTACCTTTAGTTCCTCAAGGAGCTACATCATCAGCGCTCTAAGGTAGATTTGGTAAAGTAGTTTAGGCTCTCCTCAGGCGAGCAAGCAAGTTTAACTGGTCAGTCATATCTGACTCTTTGTGATCCTCTGGACTGTAGCCCCTCAGGCCCTCCGTCCCTGGGGTTCTCCAGGCAAGAACACTGGAGTGGGTTGCCATTTCCTTCTCCAGGGGAATCTTCCCCATCCAGGGATCAAACCCGCACCCCCTATGTTTCCTGTATTGCAGGCAGATCCTTTATTAGCTGAGCCATCAGGAAAGGTCTCCTCAAACAAGGAGTGGCTACATAAAACAGGCATGTGCTATTCTATGCACATATCCATACACACTCAAAGAAACAGCAGCAAATGGAGTGAAGACAAATAGTAATAAATCTCTATCTCTACTGTATCTATATGTAGATAATATTTTTAAGTGCTGATCACCACATTCACCCTTCTTCCCATCTGGTTTAGTCCCTTTCCTTGTCTCTATATTAGTCTTTCCTCAGTTCTCTGGGCTTTTACTGATTTCCAGGGAACTTTTGTCCTAACTAGTTTTACTCTGGAAGCATCTAATTTCATTGAGCCTCAGCTGTTCCTCTGTAATACACAGTGTCTCAGTATTTTATAATATTGAAAAGGGCAAATAAGTTTTCAACAAATTCAAAATATGTCAAAGCTTGCTCACCAAATACCACCAACTTGAACAAATATGTCTTCTCTGGGGTTTTTAATTGTGATTTATATATGAGACAAAGTACAAAGGAGCTGGCCAGAGGGGTTGACTTCTTATCTGAGATCTGCTTGTTCTTTTTCACCATGAGCAAACAGTGTATCTGATTTTTATCTTGGCAGGGACTTAACCTGTCCAGAGTTCCTATGTCTTTAACCTTTTAAGAACAGGAGAACTCCTGTTCACCATGTGTCTTGTCCTTGGTGACTTCCTAAACAATCCAAAGATCTGCAAGGCACATAAGTTATATGTGTGTAGTCAATGCTTTATAGATTTTATAGAATTGGGTGGTTCTGTTATAGGAGGGTTTCCCAAGCTGGGCACTTCTGACTTTTCAGGGCAAATGTGTAAGGCTGTCTTCTGCATTGTAGGATGTAGCATCCCTGGTTTCTACTAATTAGACGTAGCACTTCTCAGTTGTGATAACCAAAAACGTTTTTAGACATTGCCAATTTACTCTCAAGGGAAACACTTGCTGCTGGTTGACAATCACTGTAGTACAGTTAAGAGGTGGTAGATGGTGGTTAGTTAGCTTGCACTAAGATTAAATACACATTTTTCTTGCCATTTTCTGGCATATAGTATATATTTGAGTATGAGGGCAGTTATCTATACTCAATTTATATGATACTTACTTACTTTATCACATTTATTGTGTTATAATAAAATTTCTCCCATTATTTTTTCTCATTATATTCAACAACCATGCAGAAAAACATCTACTAGTTTTTCAAAGGTCAGCTCCACGGAACTCCTCTTATCTTCACTATCTGAGGCCTTAAAACAAAGAATTAATGCAAATAGAAACTCAAATGAAGAACTTAATTTATGGGGAAATTAAATTTATGCAGAAGCAAGTTCTATTTTATGTAGTGATGGTAGAATAAGTGTTATGTCCAGCCACTACTTGAAGAGAGGCTGGGATCTAGACCTGGGAGTCAACTGTATAGCTGAGAACTGAAATTATGAAAAATCCTAGAGAAAAATGAAAAGCTAAAGGGACTGAAGATTAAACCTTAACATGAAGCTATGGACAATGAAACTAGCAAAAAGGGAAAAGGGTATTTATTGCTTGAAACAACAGTAGCCAATGATTCATTAATAATAAGGGAATGACAACCCTACCACAGCAGTCACTCTAAAGCCTCAACTGTAGGAAAAATGAAGAAAGAAGGGAAAGAAGGGAGGGAGAAAAGAAGGAAGAAAAATTCTATCTACTAGTTGTATGTGGACTTGTGGGTTTGGAGTGAGAAGGACAGGATACAAGAGAGGCACCTGATAACTTGTCAGGCTTGAGATGAGTATGTATTCTAACAGAACTTTGTTGGCTGTGATCTATGGAGAATCAGCTCAGGAGCACCTGCTCTTTGTCCTGAATAACCTAGTTCCTGGAGTGAAAGGAAAAGGGTGCCCAACATGGTAAAGAATGTAAAATAATCCCCATACTTCTTTTGTCCCTACCTTCCTTTAAATTTACATATTAATCATTTGACACTGCTCTTGGGCTAGTTAACTGCTTGCCTACTGCAGTGAGAGAGATAAAGAGCCTTTATTGTCATATGCCAAAGGGCCATGAACAGATCATTCTAGTTTTTGCAAGAAAAATTAGTTTAGGATAAATTCCTCTAAAACCAAATCATGCTTTGTAGAATTTTTTTTAAATATCCAGTTGACTTATAGCAAGAATTTTAGAATGAGTCAAAACATTCAGTTTCCTGGGAATACAATTAACAAACAATTCGACCTAGAAGGTTTACAAAGAAATTACATGGCTCAAAATTAGATGGACATTTTACGGAGTCTTTTTTCCTTCAATCACATAAGCAATAAGTGCCTCATACTTTTTAATAACACTTGCTTTGACCATTGGACAGTCGGACAGTTGGAGTCTCCATTCTCCCATTTGTCTGGATGCTTTCTGGAGAAGGTAGTTCCGAGTTTCTGATAGTCAAGACAAAAAGGGAAACATTACTGAGTTATATTTCTTATTTTATAAAAGAAAATAAGCGACTCGGTAGCGACTAACTTCCCTGGTAGTGTCAAGAGTCTGAAACAGATGTATCACCAGAGATAGAAGGAACACGTTAGGCCAGAGGCCAGATGTCTTCTTCCCAGATGAGAAGCGAATGCCTCTTTCCCTATACAATGCTACGTTAAGGGGCGCTTGGGAAGAAGAGTGGTTAAGAATTGCGGACTTTCAGGCAGAGGGTCCCTAAACTTGCTTCTGAGAGATCTTTAGAAGCCTCAGGGGCATAAAAATCTCGGGTGGGTACATTGCTCGTTTTAAAGACTGAGAAGCGGTCACTTTTTGGTCTCAGATGGTAGCGAAAGACGGGTGAAGGCGACCACTTCCCCCGCTTTCGGTGAACCCCAGAAGTTGAAACTCCCCCAGCAGGAGCCGCAGTTTTCCTTTCTGGCCCCACCACAGCGAACCCAAAGCACGAATCCAAAAGAAAACAGATGAATCGAGCCGATTTCAGCAGAGGAATCCGGCAGGGTGCGAAATTCTCCCTGAGGCGGAAAAGATGAGAAAGTCGTCCCACTCCAACCAATCAGATTAGAGGAAATCTTGGCGCACAGCCCCCCCTTCCCGCCAGCCAATCAGCATCTAGTTCGATGGGCCCGGCCCACTGACACAGGGAAAAAGCCTTTTAAATTTTATTAGTATAGCTTTCCCCCGCCACCTTCATTCTAGGCCTTTCCACAAAGTGCGGTCAAAAAAGGAAAACTGCATGTAACAATTCCAAAGCTGGTCAGTCTTGCGGTGAGAAGCGAAACCACAGACCTCTTAAAACAGTGATACTAAGAGGGACAGGGACAGGGAAACGAGAGTTCTGGAGAGAAAACTACAACTCCCAAGGGCCTTTGCGCGGATTACGCGCGCCCCGAGCAAGAGGGCGGACCAGCGTAGGAAGGAGACTGAGGGTCACGAGGCTGCTCTAGGACTTCCTGAAGTGGGCGGGACTTGAGGTGGGCAGGGCAGTGGACACCTCGGCTCTCCCGCTTTGTGTCCTCCTCCCTCGGCCTCAGCCGCCAGAGACGTCGGAGGGGGCGTGGCCCGCGCGGAGGCTGGTGGGGGAGCGAGCGCCGCGGGACGTGGGTGACGCGTCTCCTTCCAGCTCAGCGGTGTGTGAGGTGTCGCGGCTCCGCTGGCGATTGGCTGTTGAGAGGCGAGTGCGCAGCGGCCGTTGGTCGCCGGCAGCACGGAGCGAGAGCCGGGGCGGGCGGGGGGGATATGGGGGTGCAGCGGCGGTGGCGGCTGGAGAAGGCGGGCGCGGACGAGCCGGCGGCCGCGGCAGCAGCGGCGGTCCCCGGAGTCGTCCTGTGAAGCGCCCCGGTCGGCGCCGCCGTGGGCCCCTGGGAGAGGGCAGCCAGCGCTCAGGAACCGGTCCTCCAGCGCCGCAGCCCTTCGGACTCTCGGTCCCATCCTCACTCTCCTGCTCCGGCTCCTCCATCTTGGCCTCGGCAGTGGCAGCTGCCGGGAGGATGTGCCGCCTTCTGGCAGGGAGAGGAAGGAGGAGAAGATGAAGAAGTACCGGCGGGCCTTGGCCCTGGTCTCCTGCCTCTCTCTGTGTTCCCTAGTCTGGTGAGTAGCCGCGACCACACGGGACTTTCCCGTGAGGGGAGACGGGGCAAGGAGCGGCCCAGGTCACACCCCCAAATCATCCTGGCTTTTGGGGTGCGGGTCTCCGAGGCGCCTATGAAGCAACAAACACATTATTCCGTGACTTCCCGGCGGACTGGCCTGGCAGCACTCTGTATGGAGATTTTCATGGTGCATTTTGGAATTTACAGTCTTAAGTGGCAGAGGAAGCGCCAGGGTGCCTTTGTACCCAGTTACCCTGGCCCTTGGCGATGGAGAGGTGTTTGGGTAGTGTTCAGATAGAGACTGGCTAAGTTGTTCGAGCTTAGTACCAGCCACTTGTTTTCATGGCGTGCGAAGGGTAGAAAGCGTGTCGGATGTGGCGTGTTCCCTACAGGCGTTTTTAAAAACGTGACTTGTGAAGGTGAGTAATGTACAAACAGTAGTTCTCTTGGCCCTTTTCTCTTCTGGTCTTTGCCTCGGATACTCTTGGGGTTGCTGTTCTTGGAAACTTTGGGGGGCGTTATGAAGCACTTTTTCAAGGGGTAGATGATAAGAAGCTGTTCAGTAGAGTGTGTCTTAGGTGTAGTGTGCACGGATGTTTCTGATAGTGTGCCTTGGATAATGTCCCTTAGTAATGGAAGGATAAGCCTTGCATTTTGAAGGCGAGAAGAGGCTTTGTCTATAAGTTTAATAAGTATGGAGTTTCTGTTAATCCCTGGCACATTTGGGTTTTTGGGGAGGAGCAGAGAGAGCTTATCAGTCAAAGGATCGTTACCATTGCACTTGAAAAATCACTCTGTACTCCGAGGGGATTTCTTCAGAGTTGTGGGATGTTTGCTGATTGAACAGATGCTTCTGTCAAAGTGACTTACTGTTACATTAAAATCTAGGTAAACTAAGTTTCTTGTTTAGCTTATTTCTACAAAACACCGACAGTTTTTTTCATTAGTGTGGGATGTCTAACGGATTCTAAAGACACTGAAGTTGTACCGGAAAATAATAGATAAATAAGAAGAAAGGAAAACACTTGCCTGGCTGAAGAATTTTGAGTGGTAGGTTGATAGACGTTTTAGAGAACAAGAAATTTGACCTTTCTGACATTTACTCTCAATCCTTTAGTAAGACCAGTGTTACCTCACCTTAATACTTAACCAGCATCACGTTGGGTACAAAAAGTGGTTGTAGGAAGTGAGTACACTCACCTCATTTTAAATTTAAATTTGTGCATGAGAGAGGGAAACCTGTATTCATAACCACTTCTTTCTATTTTCTGTTTAGTTGTAGGTTATGCATCTTTTCTCTTTCTTCCTGATCTTGCCCATCTTTAGATCATGTTATTATTCTTCATTACTTTCTGAAATGGTTTAGGGCAAAGAGGTTATACTTTTCATTCACATTTAAAACACACCAGGATCTCTTGATTTTTTTTTTCTAAGTTGAAATACACCTGACATATAACATTGTATAAATTTCAGTTGTAGAACATATTGATTTGAAATATTTACATATTGTAATATGATTACCATTGCAGCAATAGTTAAGCACCTCTATTGTATTACATAGCCATTCCTTCTTGTGGTGGAAATAATTAAGATCTAGTCTGTGAGAGTTGGACTGTGAAGAAAGCTGAGCACCGAAGAATTGATGCTTTTGAATTGTGGTGGTGGAGAAGACTCTTGAGAGACCCTTGGACTGCAAGGAGATCCAACCAGTCCATCCTAAAGGAGATCAGTCCTGGGTGTTCATTGGAAGGACTGATGCTGAAGCTGAAACTCCAGTACTTTGGCCACCTCATGCGAAGAGTTGACTCATTGGAAAAGACCCTGATGCTGGGAGGGATTGGGGGCGACAGAGGATGAGATGGCTGGATGGCATCACCGATCTGATGGGCATGAGTTTGAATAAACTCCGGGAGTTGGTGTTGGACAGGGAGGCCTGGAGTGTTGCGATTCATGGGGTCACAAAGAGTCGGACTCGACTGAGCGACTGAACTGAACTGTGTCTCATCAAGTTGGTAATTATCATACAATAGTATTGTTTATACTAACTATACAGTGGTCTTCAGGACTAACTAATCTACCAGTTGCAAGTTTCTACCCTTAAATGGAATTGAAAAAAAATTAATTGGTTGGTAGCAGTGGAATCAAACATTTCAGTGTAGTTTTAAAAATCATTTGTAGAATTAAATTAACTGTGCTTCTATTACTTTGTTTAATTTCTGTCTGTCTTTTGCTTAAGCTAATCTCAATATGGTTTCTCAACTTGATTCATGAGAAATAGTGATGAGCTCACGACTTGTTCAGTTGCTCAGTCGTGTTCGATTCTTTGCGACCCCATGGACTGCCAGCACATCAGGTTTCTGTCCTTCACTGTCTCCTGGAATTTGCTCAGACTCATGTCCATTGAGTCGATGATGCTATGACCTGTTAAGGGAAAAAAAAACCAGTTGGCCTACTGAAAATAATAGTCATAAAGTTCTGTAAAGTTTGTTGATTTTCACAATGAAAAATGGATGTTGAGGGTTTAAGTAATGCAAAATTTAAGAAACTTTTGTTTAAGAAACAATTGGGTTAGTTTGTTTTGAGATTTGTTTGCACTGCCAAATTCAGAGAGATTTTAATTGCTCTTTACTGAAGCGGTGGGAAGGCATTAAAGTAGAATATTAAGGCTTGAGAATTTTTTGGAAGGGTCATGATGAGATCAGGAAGAAGAGTGGTGTATGGTGTGATTGGCAGAGACTTTTCTTCCTTGGGAAATTGGAATAATGAAATTAAGTCCCTGACTCACCTGGCGATCTGGTCCTTGCTACAGTCTGGTCTGTTAGGTCATTTCTCAATATCTCCATTCTCCTTTAGCCTAATGCCATTGTAGGGTTCAGCAGGTTTCTCAAGAGTCATTTTTGCCTTTGTCATTCATAAAGTGTTCCAAGATTTTGTGATTCATTTCTTTTTTAAGTTGTATCATTTTGTAGATTTTTGAGTGCTATATGTTTATACTACAACACTCTAGTTTCTGAATTTCCAGCCTCCTCATCCTACCAGTATTATTGCATTTTGTAACCACCTTATTTATATTGTCACATATTTACAGATCTTGATTATGTCTCCCCTCTCCTTTTGTCTTTCCAGCCTGGAGTCCTGACCTTAGATTACTTTCACAGAAGATCCATCCAATCTTTATTATTCATTCTGGTTGCTATTTTTTTCCTTTTTTCATACTTTTATGTGATTATCAAGTAGCACAGAGTATTTTAGGCATAAATGTATTATAGCTAACAGCAAGAATAACTATGATAGCTATTATTTATTGTCAGATACTCTTTGTCAAGCCTGTGGTGTGTGCTTTGCACATTTTAGCAACCTAGCACCTTTAATCTTCAGCACCTTTAATCTTCACAACAACCTATGTGTATTACTGATAAATTAATTTTATATTTTATAGTTGAGGAAGTAGAGAAGTAACTTGGCTAAGGCAAAGCAGCTATTAAGTTCTGGAGCTTGGATTTGAACCTAGGCTGCCTGATTCATAGGATCCTGACTGCTGTAATCCTTTGACTATGGGCCAGAAAGCCTATATTGTAGTTATGGCTCCATCACTTAGTATATCTGCGTCCTTGGACATGTTTTGTGGTGACTTCGAATCTTATTTCTTATATCCTAAAAGTGGGAAAACTAATTCATTCACAGCCCATAGGGTTGTTAGGATGATAATACGAGAGAGAATATATATGGTAGATCTTTGTAACATAATAAGGGTACATTATCTATATATTTCACCATAAACTCATTCAACAAAGGTTTTTTGCATGCTCGTTATGTACCAGATGTTGTTATTGGCATTGAAAACCTGAAAATAGGGTGACCAACTTATCCTGGTTTTAGCAGTAAAAGCCCCAAGTCCCAGGAATCCTCTCTGTTAGTTTCCTATTGCTGCTGTAACATGTTACCAAAAATTTAGTGACTTAAAACAACATACATTTATTATCAGTTTTGGGGTCAAAAGTCCAAAATAAGTCTTAACTGGGCTAAAGTCAAGGTGTCAGCAGTCCTGGTTCCTTGAGACTAAGGGGAAGAATCTACTTCTTGACTTTTTCAGCTTCTTGGGGCTGCTTATATTCTGTTGATCACCATTCTAAAAAGGAAAAAAACCACTCACCTTAAGTGGTAGATATTCAGATTTTTTTGTGTCCTCCCCTCATCAGAAATTAAAAGACGCTTACTTCTTGGAAGGAAACCATATTAAAAAGCAGAGACATTACTTTGCTAACAAAGGTCTATCTAAGTCAAGGCTATGGTTTGTCCAGTGGTCATGTATGGATGTGAGAGTTGAACTATAAAGAAAGCTGAGTGCTGAAGAATTGATGCTTTTGAAATGTGGTGTTGGAGAAGACTCTTCAGAGTCCCTTGGACTACAGGGAGATCCAGCCAGTCCATCCTAAAGGAGATCAGTCCTGGGTGTTCATTGGAAGGACTGATGTTGAAGCTGAAACTCCAGTACTTTGGCCACCTGCTGTGGAGAACCGAGTCATTGGAAAAGACCCTGATGCTGGGAAAGATTGAGGGCAAGAGGAGAAGGGGACGACAGAGGATGAGATGGTTGGATGGCGTCACTGACTCAATGGACATGGGTTTGGGTGGACTCCGGGAGTTGGTGATGAACAGGGAGGCCTGGTGTGCTGCGGTTCATGGGGTTGCAAAGAGTCTGACACGACTGAGCGACTGAACTGAACTCATCAGAAAAACATTGTGTATGTAGCTTTATTATGTTCTTAATTGTTATAAGATTTATACATGTGCAAATATGGTATTAGTATACTTATATACTAATAACAGTGTATGTAATAAGTGACACAAATTAGGTGATTAAGAAAGGTGAGAAAGAAAATAATCTAATACTTTGTTAACAGACCTTTTTGTACTTATTTAAAAAGTAATAATTTGGTGAGAGATGTGTAATTGACTGACTGGATTATTTTACATCATAATGGGGATGAATAATAG